GTACTGCAAGTATATGGTCGGATGTGTGAATCCAAAATTGCATTATCCCGTTGTGAGAAGTAGATACCCCATAATCAAGCAAATGAGAAGATAAATTGGAAATGTTATCCATGTTGCATAACACGTGAACATGAGCAGAATGCAAAACCAAACGTGCTCATATAGGATGCATATTTGAAAGTAAGGTCCAAAGGCGTTTGTTGCCAAACCAGTTGGCGAAATAGTACGGTTGTGAGACAGTGGGGGTAGGAAAATTGTGTCATGGATCCCACGAAAGTCCAGGTTTGGCGTGAGGCAGCGGAGCGCAGCAAATCCGGGGAGGGTCAGAACCATAATGCAACCGATATTTGAGTTCCGAATTGTTTACCAATTTGAATAAGGTCAGTAGAACCATGATAAACGTCCCAACTCCGAGAAAAGCAGTAGCCGAAGTCGTAAACTCCGCAACGCAGGACAGAGGTTGCAGCTGAAAAAGAGATCAATTTGTCAAACAGTGTGAGATGCCGTGCGTAAACCAGAAAACTCGTAGTCCTCATGTGAATGCTGGGGTAGCAAGATTAAACAGCTGCACAAACCACTTGTGAATGGAGTCAAACAGTCAATCGTTTTACAAGTCCCCGACATAATCAGAAAGATTTGTTAGATAGAAACCCAGAAGTTGACAAATGTATTGATCGGCAGGAATTAACGCAACTGTTGTAACTAGGATCATAAATAATGACGAGACAGTTCAAATAATGACAGATAAAGCGCATGAGGTTACCGAGTGGTAATGCGTGTTGACAACCCAACTGAGCAGACAATCGAGTGTATCACATGTTGCAACAGGGGTTAACCCAAATAACAATTGCATCACTGGCTACAGTTAGCCAATAGAAAAGCGTATGTTGGCTGTATATCTGGGTGCTGATACAAGCCGATTCTGTGGTAACATATGGTGAGTAGCGACAATGCTAATTGCGAAATTAAAGCGGGATAATAAGATCTGACAACCGGTGCTTGATTCAGCGAAAGCCATCAAAGGATACAATAAAAAGGTGAAACCCGACAGATAACCTAGTTGAAACTCCAAATAACTTTAGTTCATAGCAGCCGTCGGAGTGTTTCATTGCTCGCCGAAAAATGGGAATGTAGTTGCAGGCGCTCGGTCACTAACCGTGATAAGATCTACAGAAATTAATAGTCATTAGCCTCGTAAGTGAATACAAATATTCTGGTATGTCCACATGCGGATGCAGACGGCTACTGGGATGTACAATCAGTAGTCATGATCGTTCCGTGTTGGTCGCCAATTGTTATATTTAGTCATATATGAGCATAGCCCCTAGCCGTGGCAAAAAAAGGGTTTCGATGTTGGACGGAGTCTTGAATTCCCATTGGCGAAATGCTCATGCTGTCAAGGGACGCAGCGAAGTAGGCTGTCCAGTCACTGGTTCACCTAGTCACAAGCGGTGACCTTCATTTTTCTTATCTACTGAGTTGGCATATACAATCCAATTTAATTTCTTGTGAAGAACGAGAGATGGATAAATACCCTATTCTTGTATCTCAGAGCTTTTGTCTAACTCCAGTGGAAGTTGCGTCTTTTAGCGGAACATGCTGAAATAACGGATGAAGTGTAGTTGAAGATGCAGGCTCGTGGGTCTGCCTGTGTTATGGTCAACGATTCGTCGCGTGCGTAACCCACGTAGTTCCCATTGCAGTGTCAACACTCCAGCCTAGGTACATTTTGTTGTTAGCTGTAGTGTACAATACTTATGAGCACGGAGCTAGACTTTGTCCATCAACAATTTCGAAATGAAAAAATTAAACGAACTGAAGCTCACCGGTTGAAATAACATGAACCAATGACCGGAGAATGAACGGAAGAGTTTAAGCAACCATTTCCCATGATAACATGACTAGTCTGCTAATAGGATTGAAAGACTAGTCCAACGTCGAAATAATCTTCGTCACGGCTAAGAGCTGTCGCTCAAATAACACTACCTGAAATGCGATTAGTGAATTTCAGTGTTTAGAATAAACATAAAGTCCAATAAAGTAGGCGACAGCATCCGTCTATTGAAGACCGGTATTCACCAGTGAACCTATCGTCTGAGTGTAACGAAGATATCAGTTCGGCTGATGATGAAACGTCTGCAGTTGGATTCTCTCGGTCATCGAGCAATGCATTACATCAAAATTGAATCAATGCTCACCTGCAGTGGATCCATAACGTGAGAGACGAAAATTCAACTCGTCGACTTTTCCCGAGACAACTGTAAGAACAACGAAAATAATGACCGGCTGTCATAAAAGTCAAGCGGCGGAAATCAGAGATCTTCAGTTTACAAAATGAAACAGCCCTGTCATCACCATTTGCATGCATGTATGCGTGGCCACGTGAAACCAACATCCAAAAGACGTCGAGCCAACCGATTATCTAGGGATGAAGAGCACAGCGATTCGAAGGTGCGCTGCGTCCACCCCATACAAGTTACCAACCCAAGCCAATAAGGTAGCTGATGTGGTAGGTGTGCCGCATGGTCAATGCAGTTGGTCTGTACGTGTGCCTGCGCGTTTTCTTGCATTTCCGGGGCTGGTTGTTGTTTGACACCCCGGCGTGGCTGCACTTGATGTGAAGGTTGACGAGGTGCCTACCTGTCTAATACCCACCACCTCATCTATACTCGCGCCAGGAGACACTTGGTCGTTGCTGGGCGGGACGGAGTGCACCGTACCGGAAACGGTGCTAGGCTTAAAGAGTGGTTCCATGCAACAAGTGTGGAACGGGCTAAGGTCCAGACACCGCCTTGTGTACATCCGGTATGCATAAGTTCACAAGAAGGGATGAATGCTTCTGCTGTGCAAGTTGAAGGAGTGTGGACCAGCTCCGTTGATGAAACGTGGCTCCCATCCACACATACCCACCGAGCATATTCCTTCGGATTTACACTGCATATGGTTGGCGGCATCCGGTTTCCGATTTGCCTGTCACTGTGGCCAGACACAGGACGCCTGCGCCTACAGAGGGACCATGGATGGCTTGCGCTGCACCACCCACAGCCCCAACCACACACCCCATATCTAGTGTAAACCAGAAGGAATAAGACCGGGAGGCATGTGGATGAGAGCCACGTTTCATCAACGGAGCCGGCCCAAACTCCTTCACAGGCAAACACAAGCACGCTGTATTTGGGAAATCAAGCGCACACAAGGCGGTGGCTGGACCGTAGTCCGCTCCACACTGAGTGCATGGAACCACTCTTCGAGCCTAGCACGGCCACAAGGACCATGCACCCCGTCCCCTCCAGCAACGACAAACTGTCTTCTGGAGCCAATATGGGTGAGGTAGTGGGTAATAGACAGGTAGGCACCTTGTCAACATGCACATCAAGCGCAGCCACACCGGGAATATCAAGCAACAGCCAATCACCTGGAACGACAAGATGAAATAAAACAAATCCAGTAATGCATACAGATACAGTGGCATAACTCTTCGCAAAATTAGCATATGAAGTAAGTTGGTTAGCAACGAATCTGCGATAAGGAAAAAATGTCCACAAGTTAGTTAAAAATGCTACAAACGCAACTAAGTTACCGCAGCTGAGCGCAATTAGTGTAAGCAACGTGGCCAGTAAGTAGATTATTCAAGTAGGCAGAACAAATCAAATAAAGTGGAATGAAATTTAGCCAGCTTAGAAAGATCTAGTTTAAGTGTAAGTTGGTTTAGCCCAAATGCGGTGAAGAAGCTTCAAGAATGCAACATCAGCCTCAGCATGGGGCATATATATATATATATATATATATATATATATATATATATATATATATATATATATATATATATATATATATATGGGGATTGGTAGATGGTTTACCCACTGCGGCTACTGTTGTGCCATGGGCTCATGTCCTGAACGCCACCTCGTGGCGACCGCTGGGTGGAAGTTGGGTTATGCCCATCTGCTAGCTAAGACGCAGGACACAAAACCGCATGTGTCATTGAACTGACTATGTGTTAGATCCACCGCCTTTCGGGTGTATATTTAATCAAATGCTTTGGCAGAAGACCCGAGTCGTTCTCCTGTCAGATATGAGCGCCCTGCCAGTATCCTAGTCCACCTTCTTCGGAGGTTAGGAAGTGGTCGATGGCCCTCTTCCTGTAAAAACCTAGCCATGGAGACAATATGTCTACGGGTTATAAGCTCACAGCTCGATTGGCCTAGAGCACGAGCGCTACGCACTGTATCTGAAAGTAGGAGGCCACAGTCGAGTGCTCAATTGTTGGCTACTGCCCGCCTCAAGCAAAAAAGCCCTTGGTCAAATGGGTGTAAACCCGCCAAAACCTTCCTGTGTCTGGCCGTGGTCACAAGTGCGTATCCTACTGCGATCGCAAAACACATATGATTTGTATCAGATCTTCGAAGGCTGCGTGTGACGGACCTCAAGTAGATCCTAACCTGCAATCATACTCCCGAGTTGGATCAGGCACATATTGCCTTGTGAGTTAGGCAAGCCAGCCTCCGGCTGGCTTGCCGAACAACCTCCTCGTGGTGCCAGCTGGGTGGTTCGGGATTTTCCCGTTCCAGCAAACGGTTCGGCGGCAGTGTTCCAGGACGTGGTGGGTTTTCGCCTGGCAAGCGTTCTCCCTAGAAAAAGCCACATATGTCCGTTTAACAACACTGTGACGTGGCGGACGTGACTCGCCACTAAATAAAGTCACTGCTCCTTGCTTCATCCTGGCGAAGTATTGTATTCCAGCAAGTTGATGCTGTAATTTCGGGGAGCATTGGGCCCCTGTTTGGCAAAGGAACAAACGAAAGGCGTATGAACTGATCAATCAGTCACCGGCTCCCAATGGGCGCGATTCCCTAAATTCGCTCCGCTGCCTTGCGGACAGGCTATTCAGCCAAAGGCTCGGGGTGGTGTCCCCTAAGTCAACACCCTACTTCGGCTTGGGCAACTGGGTAGTATTTCGCCCTCTGACGAAACCGTGGACATTGTTGTGTTGTGTTGTGTTTTCTTTTACTATTTCTGTACCTTGTTTTGAGTTCCATGGTTTCCGATGGTGCAATGTCTATTCATAGACTGTTGCAAATATATATATATATATATATATATATATATATATATATATATATATATATATATATATATATATATATATATATATGAGTTAGGCTATTGAGTCAAAGGCTCCAGGCGGAGCCTCTCAAGCAAACCTCCGAAGCAGAAATACCAACACGCGTGGGATTGCCAACCAATGTAATCGTATGCCTGCGCGCAAAACACTTAATATCGGGTGCTGGAACGTGCGCACACTACTGGACCGGAACTCGATTGAGCCTCCCGAACGACGCAATGCACTTGACGCGATGAAACTGTCGCGCTACAACATCGATATTACGGATCTCAGTGAGACCCGGATCGCTGAGCAAGGTAAGTTGCATGAAACTGGTGCTGACTATACGTTCTACTGGGTGGGAAACGCCACCTCAGCACCACGTGAGCATTGGGTCGGATCTGCAATATCCTATCGCCTAAATGCCCAGCTGGTGGGTGAGCCGACTGGCATGGGCGCGTGGCTGATAACTGCTCGCCCACGACTCGGAATAGGTAAGTTTGCCACTTTTATCAGTACGTATGGCCCGTGCTTTAACCCGATGATACGCATGATCAATTACTCACCCGATTATCCTCCGTGATACGGTTTGTGCTGAGGAGCGACCGACTATTTCTGCTGGGTGGTTTTAACGCGCGCGTTGGGCGTGATGCATCGGTGTGAACAGATGTCATCGGTTCGCATGGCGTTGGTTCAGCGAATGAGAACGGTGACAGGCTGCTCACACTGTGTGCCAATCACGGCCTGACAATCACGAACACACAATTTGCACTGAGTGCGACTGATGTAGCCATTCAGATGTACCTACGGGGTTGTCACGCTCACCTGCTCTACTATGTCATCGTACGCCAGTGTGAAATGCGTGTAGTGCGCATGACGTGTGTACTGCGTGGAGTTGATTATGGCACTGAGTTGGTGTGCTCAAACTGCACATATATTTTCGTAAATCTGACACTCCTGCCGTGAATCAAAATAAATGTAACATCCTCTCCCTCGGTAATGTAGGGAAGCGTACTGAGCTAGAGAAGGCGATGGCTGCACGCCTGTGTGATGTGAAATGTATAGCCACAGCGGGCGAGCTATGGCACCACATTTGCGACCAGGTGACAGTTGCTTCCGAGGAGACCATCTGGCGTGCAAAATGTAAGCGGCCCGATTGGTTTGACGATAACAATGAGAAGATTAGTGCGTTAGTGTCTGAAAAGAATGCAGCATTTGCTGCACATGTTTCAGATCCCAATGACTGGGAAGAAGAGTGAGTTCCGCAAAATTCGACGACGACTGACCAGAGAGCTCCGTCGCATTAAAAATACATGGTAGACGGAAAAGGCGAAGCAGATGAAATGCTACTCCGAACGCCACTAACACAGGTAATTCTTTGACTCCTTGAAGGCCATGTATTGACCGGAGTCGGAGCCGCTGAGGACGCTGCTCCATGCGACTACAGGAGCTGTCAGCACGCAGACTGCAGACATAATATAGTACTGACGAAAACTGATTATCGTTTGAACAACCGTTTAGACATCGGCGGAACTGTGTTGCATGGGCTGAAACAACACGAGATGAAGACTTGTCTTGCAGACACGGACACTGGATGAGACACAGAGAGCCCTTTCTCAGCCGTGAAATGGCAAGTGTGCATGTGCCGAGGGGATCCCGCCAGATGTATTGAAACACGGCGGACCGGCGTTGTTGAAAGCGCCGCCCCAGCCAGTGCAACGCGTGTGGATTGAGGAGGAGGCGCCTTATGAGCAAAAGGATGCATGTGTGATATCACTGCACGAGGGCAAAGGAAGCAAACAATGTTGCACGAATTAGCGTGGCATCACCTTGGTGAGTTGTGTGGGCAAGGTGATTGCACGAATCCTGCTCAACCGCCTCTTCAGTCAGGTTGTGGAACGGAACGTAGCGGAAGAGCAACGTGGATTCCGTACAGGTCGCAGCACTATCGTTATGGTGTTTGCCGCTCGTCAATTGCACGAGAAGTGCAGAGAGCGACGCCAGCCGTTGTAATCGCTGTCTGTTGATTTCACCAAGGCATTTGATATGGGGAATCGCAAGGCATCGTGGCTGGTTTTGGGTAAGTTTCACGGTTCGCGTAAGTTTGTA